TCCTGCCGCCATACCGTAATGTTCGCCAGAGCTTCCCTGGTCCCTCTCTTCTACATCCTCCCTCCTCTTCTCTCCCTCCCGCGCCTCATGGTGCTTGTGGAGCTCTTTTGGACGTCACATGTTTTGGAGCTCTTTTGAGCTCGCCCTTTGTGCGTCATGATGTTCCTCTATATTTTTGCGAAGACCTTACGGGAAACCTCCTCCAGGAAAGCGGGGGCAGCGTTTCTTAGCCAGCGTGCCGGGACGCTGGCCGATTTTTGGGAGCACGTTCGCCCCTCCAGCGTTTACAACAGCAGTTTGCCCAGGCTTGCGTCAGGCAACTACTTCCAGGTAGCTGGCCCTGAATTCTTCAGTGCTAATTCTGTGTGGTCGCACGTTTGGCTGAGACATTCCGTCGTATTATAGGCTGTCTCCTGCTAATGTGTCTTACCACATCCCTTTCATAATGATCACTCCGTGCCCTCTTCGTTCGCCGTTCTCTATAGCCCTCTCGTACCCTCCACAGTCGACCGTTCTCCTCCCTCCCTCGTCCGCCGCTCTCCTCCCTGCCTTTCTCCTCCCTTCTCTCTCGTGCCTTTCCCTCCCTTCCCTCGCTTGCGAACCGCATCCCCTGAGATCCTACGCTGCGAAAAAATTGCAGCATCGTGAAAAATCACGACCGGAGCCCCGAACCCCAGCTTTCTGCGTCATTCTTCGACCAGGACCGATCTGTGAGCGCCCCGGGGCCCGAAATGGGGCGAAGACGCCCATTTTGCGAAGAAGGTTGCAACGCCAGCCACGTCCCGTCCCCGCGGGGGTGGTGGGGCCCCGGCCACGGTTAAGTCGGGCCTGTCCCCCTGCAGGGGGATTTTCGACGAAACATAAAAGATACGCCAAATATTGTCCAAAAATAATCAAAAAATAGTGCGGGGGCTATTTTTTGAATGTTTTTTTGGCCTTTTTGGTGTATTGTTGGGGTATTGTAGTGGCCTCCGGCCAGTGCCGCCGATCCGGGGCGCTCCGCAAGATGATGATCATGATGATGTTGCAGGGGAGAGGGCAGGGGAGGGGGTCTGCTCTGCAGGGGGAGTCCGCTCGGCAGAGGGAGGGACTGCAGGGGAGAGGGGTGGTCCGCTCTGAAGGAGGGGGGGGCTGCAGGAAAGGAAGTCTGCTCTGCAGGGGGGGGGCAGGGAGGGGGGAGCGTCCCGCTCTGCAGGGGGGGGCTGCACTGAGCGGGGTCCGCTCTGCAGCGGGAGGGTGGGGCTGGGCTGCAGGGAGGGGGGGGGGCGGTCCGCTCTGGGGGGGGGGTCCGCTCTGGGAGGAGGGGGGGCTGCAGGAGGGCGGGTCTGCTCTGCAGAGGGGGGGGGAGCAGGGGAGGAGGGGGGGATCCGCTCTGCAGGGGGGGGGGGGGCTGCAGGGAGGAGGTCCGCTCTGCATGGGGGGGTTGCTCTGCAGGGGGGAGGGTTGCAGGGGGGGGGGGGGTCGCTCTGCAGCGGGGCGGGGGGGCTACAGGGGCGGGGTCCGCTCTGCAGGGGGGGGGGGGGAGGGGGAGGCTGGGGAGGGGGGGCGTCCGCTCTGCAGGGGGGGCTGCACGGAGCGGGGTCCGCTCTGCAGCGGGGGGGGGGCTGGGCTGCAGGAGGTGGAGGCGGTCCGCTCTGCAGGGGAGGGGGGTCCGCTCTGGGGAGGGGGGGGGGCTGCAGGAGGGCGGGTCTGCTCTGCAGGGGGGGGGAGCAGGGGAGGAGAGGGGGATCCGCTCTGCAGGGGGGGTGGGGGGGGCTGCAGGGAGGAGGTCCGCTCTGCAGGGGGGGGGGGTGCTCTGCAGGGGGGGGTGGTGCAGGGGGAGGGGGGGTTCGCTCTGCAGTGGGGCGGGGGGGCTACAGGGGCGAGGTCCGCTCTGCAGGGGTGGGGGGGGCTGGGCTGCAGGAAGCGGGAGGGGGCGTTCTGCAGGGGATGGGGGGGTTCCGCTCTGGGAGGGGGGGGGGGGCGAAGCACTGAATTAGGTCGGAATTAGGACGGAATTAGGTCGGAAATGAGGTCCCCCCCCCCCGCAGAGCGAGGCTTGAGCGAGCTCAAGCCCACGCTCTCAGAACACCCCTTACGGATGTCGGGGGATTTGCATTTTTCGTCGAAAATCACCCTGCTATAGGGGGAGACAGGCCGGCCGCGGGGGGGGGGGGGCCGTCGCTGGGGGGGGCCGTCGCTGGGGCGCACCTGCCGGTGGGGCCCTCGGGCGCCTCGTCGCCAACTCCCGCTCGCGCGCGCCGCCGCGGCGGCAGGCGGACCTCGGTCCGCCCTCTAGTCCATGCTGGTGGGCCGGTCTTCCACCACCACCACCATGAGTTGGAGGGGGGGTAGGAGGAGGAGGAGGATGACGAGGAGGAAGAAGAGGAGGAGGAGGAGGAGGAGGAGAGGAGGGGGGGGAGGAGGAGGAGGAGGAGGAGGAGGAGGAGGAGGAGAGGAGGAGGATGAAGGAGGAGGAGGAGGAAGAGGAGGAAGAAGAGGAGGGCTTGTTTTCCACCACCACCACCATAAGTTGGAGGGGGGAAGGAGGTGGAGGATGACGAGGAGGAAGAGGAGGAGGAGGAGTACCTCCTCCCCCCTCCAATTCACTTGGCATCGCTCGGACGTGTGCATTTTTCCTTCGGCGAGGACCATCGAGGAGCATCCTTGATCATTTGGCGAAAAAACACGCACGAAACCAAAAACACAGGGAATGGACGTCCGAGCGATGGCGAGTTCATGGTGGTGGTGGTGGTGGAAAACAGGCCCAACACATGTGCCATGTCCCATGCCCCCCCCCCGTGCCTTCCGCGGGCAGGGCTGCCCGCGATCCGACCCCGCGCGCTTCTGCTCGCCGGCTGCGGCTGCGGCTCTGGCTCCGATCCGGTTCAGCTGGCACCCCCGACTCGTGTCGGCCACGCGCAGTGGGGGGGGCCGGGGGAGGGGGGAAGGCATCTTAGAAGCACCCTTCTTCTTTGAAGGCGCGGGCGCCCCTTCCAAGAAGCTTGTGGTTGACTCTTAGCTGTTCCTGGCGTGTAACTGAGAAGCAGTTTGTCTCCGTGCTGCTAAGGGGCAGGTTGCTTGCATCTATATAAGAAACGGCTATTGCTTCTAAGAAGCAGTTCCGTGCTTCTAAGAAGCTTCGGAGATGCTTCTAAGAAGCGGCGCGCCCCTGGCTTCTCAGAAGGGCGGCCGGCGCCTTCTAAGAGGCAGCCGCCTTCTGAGAGACCTTCCCGCCCCCCCCTACCCCCTCGTGCGCGCCGACATCCACGAAACAAAGATGACGGGAGGCTTTTCGTAATGTTCGGCCTCTGGGAGCCTCGCCAGGCCTCGGGGCTGGTAACAAACGACTCAGGACGAAAGACCGGTCTGAGGGGAACGGGTCGTTGGGACGCAACTCTTGGGAGGTCAGATTCTGATTTTGCACTGGTCCGAACCCGCCTTAATCCCGCTTAATCCGGCTTAGCCCCGCTGAATCCCAGGCCCACTCCGGCGCAATAGCCCCCAAATGGGGCTTCATCCTCCTGAATCTTTCCAACGAAAAAACCTCCGAGTAGTTGCCTCCTACGGGTCGAGGTCTCTGACAGTCGACGCTTTGAAGCAATCGTGGCGTCGGGTGGCTGGCATCGGCCCTGGGCCATTCGTTAGAGCTCTTGTATTTTTTCTCCCATATTCGATCTTTTTTCCGCTCGCCATCTCGACCTCAGATCGATGGGGTACTAATTACTGGCAAAAAAGCATCCCGGCGGGATCGGCTGTTTAGTGTCATCTTGGCAGGTGCTGTCGCTTTTCTTAACTTAACTCGAGCTGTAGAAGAGCTATAGAGCTGGCGGGCACAGTTCATCATCAGGCGCGTTAGTCTCGCGTATTCAGATGTCTGGACTCGGTCTGCTACCAGAACTGGGAGGGCGCGGCGTCCCGATGTCGATTCAGCCCAATTCGATTCACAGGCAGCGGCGGCCCGGGGCCACTCAGAGCTAGGCGCGGCGATCCGAACTCGATTCGATGCGGAGCGATCTCGTTGGCGATCCGGTCCGCTCCTCGTAGGTCAGGAGGGGAAAAAACACACAGACACAATTAATCCTCGATTCCCCAGAAAATATGGGAAAATATGGGAAGTGGGGGGGAATACAGAAACCCAGAAAATATGGGAAAATATGGGGAATATTTTTATTTGTGTGTATTTATTTGTCCCCTTCAGTAGGGCCTAGAGGTCGGCACCAACACCAAGATCGGCGGTGTGTCTCCCCCGAGGGAAGAGGATCCCGATCTCGGTGATGGTGGTGGCGTTCGGGCTCCCTGGGTGGCCGAAGGGCCACCACGACCACCATCATCTGGGATCATCCTCCCCCCTGTTTCTTCGAGGGCAGCCCCCGGAAGGTCAAATTATGACCTTGCCCTGGTCCGAAATCCGGCGGAGTCCAGCTTCATCCGGCTCAATCCCGCTGAATGCTTGCTCCGCGGTCCAATCGGGCGCAATCGCCCCCCAGTGGGGGCCTCCTTCCCCTCATTCCCTCCGACGAAGACCTCCCAGCAGCTGCCTCCTGACCTGTCTCGCTGGTGCCCACTGCCCAGGCCTCCAGTCGGAGGTTGATGGACCTCCTACCCTGACGCGTCGATTAGCGAATGGGCCCTCTTCGCTTCGCGAGAGGGCGTCGCGACCGTCCTTGTGTTGCGGGTCCAGGCCCTCGGCCGTTTTCACGAAAGGGTGGTTTGCTAAAGGGAGGTCTGTCCACCGCCGATCCTGGGGCCCGCTCTTCCGACGCCGACTGGGCCTTAAGTCGCGCCTGTCCCTCTACAGGGGGAACATCAAAAAATCGTGAGCAAAATAGTCTGGGGACTCTTTCTTTCTTGGAGCATTGTTTTGACTACTTTTTTCTCTTTCGCCGAACATCCTCCTGTAGGGGGACCCGCCCGACTTAGACCTGGCCCGACGTGCCGCTCCGCGCGGGCCCGGCGGGGCCGGCCTCCCCGACCGCACGCGGGCCCGAGCCGCAGGGCTCTCCCGACGTGCCCCCGAGGTGGCCGAGGCCTCCGCGCCGCGCTTGCCCTGCTCGGCACGGGCGCCCTGCTGGGCGTGGCGGTGTTGCACGGCGCCCGTGGAGGCGGGGCCGCAGATGTCAGCCACGCGCAGCCTCCTCATCCTCGCTCCTCCTCGCTCCTCCTCCTCCTCCTCCTCGCTCCTCGCTCCTCCTCCTCGCTCCTCCTCCTCCTCCTCCTCCTCCTCCTCCTCCCCTCCTCCTCCTCCTCCTCCCTCCTCTCCTTTTCTTCCTCCTCTCCTCTCCTCCTCTCCTCCTCCTCTCCTCCTCGGTACGGGTCGGCCGCGCGCAAAAGGGGGTAGGGGCAGGGGGGAGGGCTTCTTAGAAGCACCCCTGCTTCTAGAAGGCGCGGGCCTGATCTATAGGTGTAAGGCTGGCGCCTTCTAAGAAGCAGCCCACTTCTAAGAAGCCCTCCCCCCTCCCCCCACCCCCTTGCGCGCGCCGCCAAAGATGATCTGGCGGAGGTGGAAGATCAGGAGGGGCAAAAACACACAGACAGAATGAATCGTCCACTCCCAGGGAAATATGGGGAAATAGGGGGGGGGGGCAAGACAAAGACCAAGAAACTAATTGGGAACAGATGGGGAATATTTTCATGTGTGTGTGTGTTTCCTTGTGAGTCCCAGGGCCCCTTTGTGTGGAGGCGGGGCTGCAGATGATCTGGCTCGGATAGACGTAAGAGTGACCTTTCGCTGGAGTGCCTTTTGGTGCGTGCACAGATGGGTCCCCAGATTGCTGAAAGCAGAAGCGGTAGCCGCTTCCTGTGCGCCCAGGTTTGGTCCCCCCGCGGCCCCGCAAAAGTCGCTTACCAGAGGTCGCTCTTACCCAGGGTCACTCTTGCGCATAGCCGATTGGCGGAGGTGGAAGAATCAAGCAGTGGCGAAGCCGTAGCCATTATGGCTCAAGCCCCGCCTGCCGCGGGCGCCGCTTGATGGTGGACGAAAGCAAGGGATACTACCTGGCCTGCCTGCGCGCCAGGAGCGTGTCCCTGCTGCAGTTCCCGCAGTCGCTGAGCGTGTTAGGTGGCCGGGCGCACTTGGACAACTTTGACGCCACAGCTGGCAATCTGTGGACCTTCAAGCCAGTGGGCAGCAAGGCGTTGGCACGGCGGGACGCTGGGCGGCTGCGTGGCACGTCGGACGGTGCAGAGTCGAAGCGGTACGTGCTGTCTTGCACCAACGTCGATGAAGACTCCAAGGTGGCGTCCTACCTCGGCCCGAACTTATCCATAGTGCAATCGCTTGAAAAGGCGCAAACATGGACCTGCACCGTGATGTCAGAGGACAGGAGACGGCGCGCCCCGGTCGTAGACGGCGAGGCCTTGTTACAGATCCGGACCTTCTCGGCCGAGGGCCCGACCTTGGTGCTCTGCGCGCACGAGCATCAGGGCACCGTGCGACTCGTGGAAGCTGACGCGGTGGCGGAGGGAACCACTGGCGGATTTCTGAGCGACGTCTGGGAGGCTACGCCCGACAGCGACCCGAACCCGGACGTGCTGCAGGAGCTGCTTGAGATTGGGACGTGACGGCGACTGCAAAGCTGTATCCCCCCACCTCATGTAAGCGACAAGCCTAGGAATCCATCTAGCATCTAGAACTCGACTTGTCCCTCCCATCTTACAACCTGCAAACCTACAGCGCCCTCCGCAGCGTCGCATGTAGTAGCGGCACGTGCCGCTGCATGCGAAGTTTCGGCCGCCGTCAGTTGCATGCGATTGTATATTGCAGGATGGTTCGTATAGGGTTCTTGATTTGCCTGCTGACACCATCGTTTCACACCCTGGCGAATGCCGCCGTATGGTGGGACATGTTGGCGGTGCTTCCCCGAGGCAAGCAAAAAAATCAAGCAGTGGCGAAGCGTCCTGGTTCGCCGATCGGCCTACCACAGGCTGTTCTACGGACCTTTTGTGGCTTGCACGGAATGTTCTTAGAACTTGTTCTGGTTGGGACGGTCTCTTTTCACACATGGTGCTAATGTTCTAAGAACAGTGTTTTTGTTTTTAGAACATATTTGGGTTCTAAGAACATTTCGTGGTAGGACTATAGGAATGCCGTAACGGTCGGTTCTGCTCAAAAGAAGAGAGCACGACGCAGACCTACATGGTGGGGGCGCTGGTTAAGGAGTGTGCCCAGGAGGCTTCAGACCTTTGTGGGCCTGGGAAACGGCAGGGCCGTTTTTTCACCGTTTCCGAGAAAGTGACCCTTAAAAATGGAAACGGCAAAAAAACGGCGACCGGAAACGGCAAAAAAACGGCTCCAGGATTGGAACCGGAGCCCGAACCGGTCAAAAACCGGCGACGAAACCGGTGAAACAACGGCGTCGGAGCCGGCAAACAAAACGGCAAAACGGAACCGGTAAAAAACGGCCTTGTCGTTTCCAGAGCCCACTAAGCTTCAGACCCTTGGGGGGGATCCTTATCTGATGAGGGCCGCGGTAAGCTCCATGGCTTAGTCTCAATGGGTGTTCCGCCAGCCTCCAGACTCTGGCTTCCTTATCCAATGGCTCCTTCTTGAATTCGAAACGACAAAACGCAGTAAACATGAACTTGGGGCCCCCATGGCGGCGCCTCCGGCGCCGCCCCTGGCGCGCTCTGCGCGCCAGGGAGGGGGGTCCAGCGCAGATCGAAGAAACCCGCGCGGAGCGCCACAAGTTTTATGTTTATGGCGTTGTTGCTTCTCCTGTGAATGCCCTCACCGGAAGTCTTGGGAGCTCCGCGCGGGGATTCTTGAACGGAGACGGGTCGCCGTGGAGAAGGGTCTGGGAGTCGGGGAAGCGGCCGAGAGGAGGGCCATGACTCGGGTTCAGTCGGGCATGTCCCTCCACAGGAGGAATACTCCAGAATAGTCACGACATCGCATGCGGACTTGTTTTTCTTTTTGGTTGAATCGTTCTAAACCCTTGTTGACCGTGGCTTATTTTTCTTCCTAGATCCGCCTGTAGGAGGACGTGCCCGACCGCAGACTTCGGCGGGGGGGGTGCCACGGCTGGGGCCACCGCGTCTGCTTGGGACTGTCCGCTGGTGCCCCCGCCGCTCGTCCGCGCACATATGCCTCGGGCCACGCTTCGAGCAGGAGATCGACTACAGAATTGGTTTACCCAAACATTGATTCCTCAGTCGAATCTACGGAGCTTTCGACGTCCTTGTTTCGAGACTCGACGAGAAAATCCATTTCAGGGCAACCCAATCTTGTAGTCCATCCCCTACTCGGACGCTGTGCAAGCCCCCCCTTCCCTCGCCCTGACCTTCCAGGAGGGCTAAACAATAGCACCAGGACGTCGACGTCCTAATTCCTGTCGAGGTTTGAGGCAGTCCAGATAGCCCTCTGGGGCCGTCCGTGTTTTTTTTGTGGACCACGACCCGTGTGAGAGGTGCGCCGAAGTGAGCTGGGCGATGCTATGAAGCTTCCCTCTGGTGCCATAAATGCACTTCCTTGCGGGGCACGGTCCGCCTGAGGGGCGTGCCATTCTGCGAGCCTTGTCTCTGGGGACGCAGGTTGGGTTCCTTGTGGGGCGCGATCCCTGTGAGGGGTGCGCTGACCTATAGGTCCTATAGGTGTGGAGTGCTATTTTTTAGCACTCTGGAAGGTCAGGGCGGGCGCCCCCCTCTTGGGGCGCCCCTGGTGGAGCAGCGGTGTCCTGGAGGCCCTTCGGCGCCCTGGGGCATCCATGGCCCCCCTTGGCTGAGGTCGGGCCCGTCCCTCTACAGGAGGAATATTCAAAAATGGTTCAAAAATAGTACGGGGACTCTTTTTGACCATTTGAGTATTTTAGGGTATTTGTTTGACTTTTTGTTCATTTTTCCTCCAAAATCCCCCTGTAGGGGGACAGGCCCGACTTAACCCTGGGCCCGGGGAGCATCCAGCCGCGCCGTGCGAACCCCCCTCCTGGGCACCCGCCCCTCGGCCGCCCCCCGGTGGAGGGTCGGTGAGACGGCTCCCGAAGTCCAGCAACGTAAGATGCAGACGCATATATATATATATATATATATATATATATATATCAGGAGATGCCCCCCACGCCTCGAGCCGGACTGGCGGCGTCCCGGAGGCTTTTGTCGGCGTCTTGGGCCGCCCGGGCCCTCCTTCGTGTCCCGGTGGAGGGTCAGTGAGACGGCCCCCGAAGGTTAGCAAAGTAATGTGCAGACGCGTATGTATATCAGGAGAGGACCCCTACGCCTCGATGGGCCAGGCTGGCGGCGTCCCGGAGGCTCTTGTCGGCGCTTTGGGCCGCCCTCCTGCGCGTCCCCGGGGACAATCAGTAGGTCGGGCCTGTCCCCCTACAGGGGGATGTTGGACGAAAAATAAGAAATACCCCAAACATATTCCAAAATTGTCAAAAATAGTTAATTTTAAAAAACATCGTCCCCAGGTTATTTGTTTGACTATTTTTGAATACTCCTCCTGTAGAGGGACAGGCCCGACTCAAGACAATCAAGACACGGACCGGGCAGAAACACAACCGCCGATCTTTGGCCGCCCAGGGGGTCGAGAAGGGAGGGTTGGCTCGGGGGGGCGGGGGGGGACATCGACCCCGCACGCTCCTTGGCGGGTTGGCTCTAGGGCCTGCATCTCCCTCCGCTGCTGGCTCGCCTCCTTGGTTTTCCAAGGATTTGGAGGCGCTGACGTGGATGTCAAACAAAAAATCATGAGCGATTCGGGATCGATGCTTCCTACCGTTCACGTGCGGGCAAGACTTGTGTCCATCGCCACGGCAGCTTGGAGTTGCGGGCTCCCTTGCCGAGAAGCCCCAGGCGCGCTGGATCCGAACACGCATCGGGCCCCCCAGAGGCTAGAATCTTATCCATACCCAGCGCGCCTCGGCCGTGCGGTGCCCCTTCCAAGAAAGTCCAAGACGCATTGGGTATGGACATGGACCGGGAGATCCGACGTTGCGAAAAAAATGCCACATTGAACAACAATCACGCCCCGAGCCCCGGACCCCGTCTCTCGGCGTCATCCTTCGAGCCCGATCGATCTGTGAAGGCCCCGCGGCCCGAAATCGAGCGAAGGCGCTCGTTGCGAGACGAGTGCAGCGCCAGGACCTCAGGGAGCACTGCCTGCCTGGCGTTGCCCTCGAGTTCCTCTTGCGGCCTGGGCCTCCCGGGCCCCTCCTGGGCCCCGGGGGTCCTCCTCCTCCTCCTCCGCCTCCGCCGCCTCCTCCTCCTCCTCCTCCTCCTCCTCCTCCGCCTCCTCCTCCTCCTCCTCCTCCTGGCCCCCCTGGGAGCCCCTCCCCCTCCCCCTCCTCCTCCTCCTCCTCTCCTCCTCCTCCTCCTCCTCCTCCTCCTCCTCCTGCTCCTCCTCCTCCTCCCTCCTCCTCCTCCTCCTCTCCTCCTCCTCCTCTCCTCGTCCCCTCCTCCGCCTCCTCCGCCTCCGCCTCCTCCTCCGCCTCCTCCTCCTCCTCCTCCTCGTCCTCCTCCCCCTCCTCCGCCTCCTCCGCCTCCGCTCCCCCGCCTCCTCCTCCTCCTCCTCCTCCTCCTCCCCACAAGACGGCTCCGGAGGAGAGAAGCCGATGCTGGGCAGTCCATCGGAGGCCCCCATAGACGGTGTGGTGACCACACCGTGTGGTGAGTCGGTGGGGAATGCGGGGTCACCGCACGGTTCTGGGACTCGGGTCCCTCTCCGAGGATGTCGTGGGCGACAGGGGATTTCCAGGGTCCCAAGACCGTGCGGTGGCGGACCTTCGGTGGGGTCTCTTGGGGGTCCCGAGGTCACCGCACGGTCTGTCACTACCCGGTTGTGGGACCCCCAGGAGGAGGAGGAGGAGGAGGAGAGAGGAGGAGGAGGAGGAGGAGGAGGAGGGGCTGGAGGAGGGAGGAGGAGGAGGAGGGGAGGAGAGGAGGAGGAGGTGGAGGAGGAGGAGGAGGAGGAGGAGGAGGAGGAGGAGGAGGAGGAGGAAGAGGAGGAGGAGGAGGAGGAGGAGGAGGAGGAGGAGGAGGGGGAGGGGGAGGGGGAGGGCCAGGCTGCCCAGGTGGGCCCAGGCGGCGGGCGTCCGTCGGCGGACCGCGCCGCCTCGGCGGTGCGTCGGGGAGGCGACCGTCAACGCGGCGCATCGTCGATGCATCACCGATGCGGCTCGATGCGGGGCCCGACTTGCTTCACGCGGACGTCGCGGATGCGTCGCCGACTTCGCCGATGGATTCATCGCCAGTGCATCGCCGGTGCATTGCCGATGCATCGCCGATGCATCGCCGATGCGGCACGATCCCATCTACTCCGACCCCATCTAGGAGTTCTCGATTTCTGCGGCGAGGAATTTTGGCTTCGCATGTCGCGCAGTCGGGATTGGCCCCCTACGGTTGGGCGCGACACGCTATCCACGTTCCAACGACGAAGCATCATCATTTTCTCGAGCCTTTCCCAGCCTCCCGCACCGCGTACCGGAGCGACACGCTTTCCAGTTGCTGGGTATAGCGTGTCGCCGGGACCATCGCCGCGACACGCTGAGTATAAGTTGTTGACCGTATATCCCGACATCGCGTGTACATCGCCGATGCACACGCGATGATCGAGTCGATCCTGCGCTCTCCTGAGTCCGTGGATCCGCCTGGGCCAGGGTTCTGATGTTCCAACCTGCTTTAGCCTGGGCCGCCAGGAAGCATCTCGAGCGCACCCCAAAAAACTCGAGGGCTTTCACGCGGCGGGCCCCGGGAGACACTCCCTCGACACTCTTTCGACACTTTTCTGGGTGCTCAGAATCACTTCTGGGGTGTGGCCCCCTTAAGTACGAGGCGAGCAGCATGAGGCCAGGGGGGCAGGTGCCGGCGCAGGTGCTCTTTGTGGCTCGCCCGGGCGGCGACGGGAGCGACGCGTCGTCAGCGGGAGGCCGGGCGCCCGCGGCCCAGCAGAGACCACCCCGAAGCCAACGCGAGGGGCCCACTTCGCCCTCCATCTCCAGTGGGGGGGGGGGGGTCGTCGGGGAACGTCGACAAAAACACATGTGGGACCCGTCTGGCGGCGCGCACAAGGGGGCAGGGGGAGGGGGGAAGGCTTCTAAGAAGCGAGGCTGCTTCTTGGAAGGCGCGGGCCTTCCATCTACAGGGAAGGCCCGCGCCTTCTCAGAAGCAAGGTTGCTTCTGAGAAGCCTTCCCCCCTGCCCCTACCCCCTGTTGCGCGCGGCCGACACGTACCGAGGAGGAGGAGGAGGAGGAGGAGGGGAGGAGGAGGAGGAGGAGGAGGGGGAGGAGGAGGAGAGGAGGAGGAGGAGGAGCGAGGAGGAGGAGGAGGAGGAGCGAGGAGCGAGGAGCGAGGAGGAGGAGGAGGAGGAGGGCCCCCCCAAACCGAAATCTGGGTCTTCAGGTCGTGTTGGGGTGGCCTGGGCCCTTCGCCACGCACCGTAAGGCCGCCGAGGGGGCGTCGGGGAACGTTGATCAGGAGGGGAAGAAACACACAGACACAATGAATCGTCGATTCCCCGGGAAATATGGGAAAATATGGGACTTGGGGGGGGAGGCAAGAACCCAGAACATAGGAGAGAGCATGGATAATCCCTGTTACTCGTGTCTATTCATTTGCGTGTGTCTCAGGGCCCCTTCAGTTGACAAAAGCACGTGTGGGACCCGTACCGAGGAGGAGGAGGAGGAGGAGGAGGAGGAAGAGGAGGAGGAGGAGGAGGAGAAGGAGGAGGAGGAGGAGGAGCGAGGAGCGAGGTGCGAGGAGCGAGGAGCGAGGAGGAGGAGGAGGAGGAGGAAGAGGAGGAGGACCCCCCCCCCAAACCGAACTTTGGGTCTTCGGGTCGGCTCGGGGTGGCCTGGGCCCCTCGCCACGCATCTTAAGGAGCGAGCCGCAGGACGGCCGCAGAGACGGCCGGCGAGCGCGCGCCCCGCCACGGCGAGCGCTATAGGGCCCGACGCGGTTTTCTCGGTGGGTTTTTTCGGCGGCTTTTCGGCGGGAGCCTTTCACCGGTCTTCGGTGGTACTTCGGCGGTCTTCGGTAATTTACTCGGCGGTTTTCTCGGCGATTTTCTCGGCGGTTTGTCGGCGGCCTTTCACCGGTTTGTGGCGGTCTTCGGTGATTTTCTTGGCGATTTTCTCGGCGGTTTTCTCGGCGGTTTTCTCGGCGGTTTGTCGGCGGCCTTCCACCGGTCTTTGGCGGTCTTCGGTGATTTTCTCGGCGATTTTCTCGGCGGTTTTCTCGGCGGATTTTCGGCGGCCTTTCGCCAGCCTTCGGCGGTCTTCGGCGGTTTCTTCGGTGATTTTTGTTCGGCTATGTTCTCGGCGGTCTTCGGCGGTTTTGCGGCGGCCTTTCACCGGTCTTCGGCTGTACTTCGGCGGTCTTCGGTGATTTTTTCTACGGTTTTCTCTGCGATTTTCTCGGCGCATTTTCGGCGGCCTTTCACTGGTCTTCTCGGCGGTCTTCGGCGGTTGTTCGGCGGCCTTTCACCGGTCTCCGGCGGTTTTCGGCGGTCTTCGGTGATTTGCTTGGCTTTTTTTCGGCGGTCTTCGTCGGTTTTTCGCCGGTCTTCGGCGGTTTTTCGGCGGTTTTTCGGCGGTCTTCGGTGGTTTTTCGGCGGTCTTCGGCGGTATTTCGGCGGTCTTCGGCGGGTTGGTCGGCGGTATTTCGGCGTGTTGTTCGGTGGTATTTCGGCGGTTTTTCGTTTTTTTGTTTTTTTTTTGTTTTGCGATTTTCGGTTGAATTCGGCGGTTTTTTCGGCGGTTTTCCAGCGGTCTTCGGCGGTCACTCGGCGGTCACTCGGCGGTCTGGACGGCGGCCCGGCGCGGTCTTCGGCGGTCACTCGGCGGTCCCCGGTGGGGAAGCCGGATACTTCGCGTCATCAAGGGGTCCATGGTCGAACACAGCAGTGCCTTTTTTGACGCGCACGGGCGACGAGCGCCACCGCAAGCGCCCCGAAAGGGCGCCCGACGCCGTCGGGCACCTTGGGGAGCTGCGCGGTACTCAGAGCGTGAATGACCTACCCCGCTTTCGCTTCCAGGCAAAACCGAGTCATACCACGCGCCTCCTCGTCAAGCGGCCTGACCAGCGCAGGCCGTACTTTGGCGTCGCTTGGTCTTTATTGGAAGCGAGGGTGGTCAAAAGCGAGGTAGGTTTGTTTGCGCCCTAGGTACGCCGCGCCGCCAGCGCCGCGCATTCGGAAACGCTGCGCCCAGCGCAGCGCACACCGTGCAGCAAGAGCAGGGCTCGCTCGTGCCCCTCGGCGTCGCGGCGGCGGAGCTCGGGGGCCCGGCCGCGGGGCCGCCCGAGGCCCAACGGCGCTGGCACGTCCGGGGGCCCGGGCGACATCCCGTGGCGTTAGGAAGGAGAGGGGGCGCCAACGACGTGCTCGCGCCCTTTGCCAGACGTGCAAGCCATGGAAGAAGCAGAGAAACGCCATACACACAAACTCCGCGGCGCTCCGCGCTGATGTCTTGGCTTCGCGCCGAGGCCCCCATGGCGGCGCCCCTGGCGCGCTCTGCGCGCCAGGGATGGGGGCCCAGCGCGGATCCCCAAGAAAACCCGCGCGGAGCACCACGGAGTTCATTTTGTTATCCCCCCGTTCTTCTCCCCTGGCATCACTCGGACGTGTGCATTTTTTTCGGCGAGGACCATCCTGGACCATCGAGCAAAACAAACACGCACGAAACCGAAAAATGCACGGGAAATGGACGTCCGATCGACGGCAAGTCTCCCAGGCGAGTCGTCCCCGAGCGTCCCCGTCCTCCACCTGCGGGGGGGGGGGGAGAGAGGGGCCGTCGGCGTCCCCGCCGAGGGAGAACGCGTGCGGGAAGCGGGGGCCCACTCCGCAGGAGGAGAAACAACACACACACACACAGAGACACAATTCATCGTCGATTCCCTAGGAAAATATTGGAAGATATGGGAAATGGGGGGGAAGACAAAAACCACACACAGACACACAGACACAATTTATCGTCGATTCCCCGGGAAAATATGGGAAGATACAGGAAATGGGGGGGAAGACAGAAAACCCAGAAAATACGGGAACATGTGGTGAGTCCCGTTATTTGTGCGTGTGTGTATCTATTTGCGTGTCCCAGGGCCCCTTCAACTCCTCCCAACCCTCGGCCTCTCACGGCCAGCTTCGCCTCCCGCCTCGCTGCTGCAGTTGCTGCGGCAGCGTCGCCGCCGCCACTGGTGCCGTCGGCGCCGTCGCTCTTCGCGGTCCGCGTCGACGCGGGCGCCGTCGCTAGAATCGCCGACTTGGCGCCGTCGTGCCTGCTGCCGCCGGCTGGCGGACTGTGGAAGAGAAGCGAAGCATAGTCCAAACATAAGCCCACATAGGCAAGCATCGTACAGTGCCGTTTTTTGTACATGTTCCGCATGCCCATCCTGTATTAAAAATGCAGGGAATTAGTATTGGAAAACAACGACGATTGCATGATTAGTGTATTCATAAATTCACCATGTCTTAAACATCTTATGTTGTTTGTTACAAAAATCCCATGTATTAAAGACTGTCCTGTAGGAAGAATTGTCCCCTGACCATGTCTGAGACTATTTGGGGACATATACATGCCCGACTCTGAAAGCTTGAGGCCGGGCCCGCCGCCTCCGCCTCTGTCGTCGTCGGCATCGTCGCCGCCGCAACCGCCGGGGACTTTCGGCGGCGAGCGAGGGGGGGAAGTAAGAAGGAGAGGGCCTTCTCGGACGGTCCGGAAGTCCCCCAGTCTTCTGAGAAGTTCTCTCTCAGCCCCCCCGAAGCCCCCCCCAAAAATATCAGAAGGCGTGAGGGTTTTCGAGAAGTCCCGTCGCCTTTGATCAAGGGCGTTAAAAACGCCCCTACCCGGGTTTACGAGGCGCTCTGCGCTGAACCGCCTGTGGGCTGACCGGGTAAACCCTGCTTATCGCGCGTGTCGCGCGGCGTCATGGCGGCTCTCCCTTTGGGAGCTCCCAGGAGGTTTACGGACCACGTTTTTGTAACCCAGAGTAGGGGCATGTTTTGCATCCTTCAATTCGAGAAGGCCCTCTCCATCCTCCAGAACAGTCACAACATCGCATGCGGACGATTTTTCTATTTTTGTTGAATCGTTCTGAACCCTTGCTGACTATGGTTTGTTTTTCTTCCGAGATCCGCCTATAGGAGGACGTGCCCGACCTCAGACTTGGTGGGGGGGAGTGCCACGGCTGGGGCCACCGCGTCTGCCTCTCCATCCCACTCCCCCCCCTCGCTCGCCCAGAAGAGCTCGAGGCCGAGGCCGCCGTTCCCACCTCCGTCGTCGGCGGCGTCGTCGCCGCCGCCACCGCCGGTGATTTGCAGGAGGGGGAAGACACACGGACGCAAAGAATCGTCGATTCCCCAGAAAGTATGGGGCAATATGCGAAGCGGGGGGGGGGGGGGGGACGAAGAACCCATATAAAGCATGGGGGACACACACAGACACAATAGTCGCCGACTCCCCCGAAAGTGTGCGGAAATGTGTGAAGTGGGGGGGGGAAGACGAAAACCCAGAAAGTGTTTTAAAACATGAAAATATGGGGCAATGTCGCCAAATGTTTTAAGATATATATATATATATACATATGTATGTATATATGTATATATATAGATTAGGACTCGTGGCTGTTCATATTCGTGTGCCCCTGGGCCCCCTTTGGACTTGGCGAGGCGCGCCGCGCGGCGGGGCAGCGCTGCGGCTCGGCGAGCGCGGCGGAGGCCCCCGTGGCGTCGTTGCCGTCGCCGCCGGCGCCGCCGGCGCCGGCGGTCTCGAGGTCGGCGTCGTCGGGGTCGCGCTCGCCGCCGCCTCCGGCGTCCTCAGTCGGACCATGCCGCCGCTGCTTGGTTGGGGGCCCCTTGGGACAGGAGGCCCCGGAGGGGGAGGGAGGGAGGGAGGGAGGGAGGGAGGGAGGGAGGAGGAGGAGGAGGAGGAGGAGGAGGAGAAGGCAGAGAGGGAGGAGGGAGTGGGATAATGAGACGTGGAGATCGTGATATTCCTCTTCCTATATTTTTATAAGCCCGGGCGGGGGGAAAACCCATCCCCCCCCCAACACCGGACTCCCGGGACCTGGGGCTTTGGGGCCCTCCAGACGGGCCTTGAAGCGGCCACCGGGCCTCGCAAGGCGTTTTGCCAAGCCTTCCCAGCAAACTTAGGGCGATCAGGGGGGTCATCGGAGACGTCCCAGAGACCCCCAAGACAGCACAAGAGCGCTCCAAGAGTGACCGACGTGACGTCAAGATGGCCCAAGAGGCCTCCAGGACGGCCCCAAAGAGGCCTCCAAGAGCACTCCCAAGAAGGCCCCCCGAGGCAAAAATCATTGATTTTCTGCGTGTTATTGGTGAATTTGGGGGTTCTCCTCTTTTCGGCTTCCCGACGCTCCAAGACGGCGGTCTTCTGGGGGTCCGAAGCCGCCTGGGAGGCTCCCAAATCGCCCCACAACCATCCGAAAGGGCTTCCAGGCAGTCCAAGAGAGCCCCAAAACGGCACAACACGGGTCCAAGATGGCCCTCAGAGAGCCCCATGGCGGCCCAAGATGGCCCAAAGACGCCCTCCGAAGAATTCCAAATCGTGTTTTGGTCGTTCAGGGAGACGGTGGTTGGAGGCAGGGTGGCCCGAGGAAGCCCCCAGACACCCAGAATACGCCCAGGAGGCCTCCAGAAGGCGTTAAGAAAGCGTGAAACAACTTTTGCGAGGCCCCTGGATGCTCTCCAAAGAGGAGCCTCCGCAAAAAGAGCTGAGGAGGATGTGGAAAATGCGCAGGGTATGACGAAAATATGGAACAATAAGCATGGAGGAAGGATAACGAATAACAGCATTATAGCGGCGATGCCAGAAAAGGCAGCCAGGAGTTATCGCTAAATTGTCGGCTTGATCTTCCTGCCATTCCGCCTGTATACTTAACTTCAAGGACCAAGGTGCATGGCGCGAAGCGCCACTGCAGTCTTGTGTATATATATAATATGTACACATACATATATATACATATATATGTGTGTATATATATGTATGTATGTATGTATGTATGTATGTATGTATGTATGTATGTATGTATGTATGTATGCATATATATATATATATATACAAGTGGCACGTGTGTGTCCAGGCTCATACAAAACACAAACAAAAAACGAACGGGGAAAGGGCGTTTGAAGCAGGAAGACACCATGACGGCGGGATCGGAGATGGGAAGGGGAAGCTGGGGCGGCGCCGCCAGGGCGTGCCTAAGAGAAGGGAAAGCGGCAGGAGTTGAACGCAGAAGAATCTAAGATCGAGTAAGAGCCCCCCCAAAAGGATTGGGGATCGAGCAGGAGGGTCGACGAGGGCAATGCCTCTCCGAGGTCAGCGTTGCGAGGATGTCTCAGGCGAAAGTGGCCTGACCACCTCAGCTCAGGGCATCTCGGAACCCAGAGTTGTGGATGTCTCAGGCGAAAGTGACCTGAACACTTGAGTTCAGAGTATTTTGGAACCCAGAGTTGCGTGGATGTCGCAGGCGAAAATGACCAGACCACCACGATGACGTTTGGCCCCGAAATGCGCGAAGAAACAATCGAAAGGCCTCCTCCTCGAAGCCATCGAAAGGCCTCCTCCTCATCCTCATCCTCCCCTCTTCCTCATCCTGCTCCTCCCTACCCTTCTGGCTCGCCACAATCACACGAACATATAGCACCAGTGATGCAAGATGGGCTGGCGGCTGGGGGAGTGAGCGAAGCGATTAACAAGCGAAGTGCAAGCACGATTCCCACCAGCCGATTTGTTTCACCAGACAATTTGTGGAGGGAAAGAGAAGGAGGAGAAGAGGAGGAGGATAGCTGCTGGGAGTGAAATGCAATAGCGAGATCGCACTCGAGCGCAAGTGGGGTTGCCACACCTTGCGATGTGTGTGCCAGGGCCCCCCAGGAAGCCTCAGGAGGCCCGACTTGGATACCGGAAGAAGCTCCAGGAGGCCCCAGGATTGTGAGTGTTGTGTGTGTGATGTGTGCTCCGTGTTGTGCGTATTTTCTGTGCGTTGTAGGTGTTGTGTGTGTGTGTTATGTTTGTCTAGCGTGTGATGTGTTCGGTGTGATGTGTGCCTCTGTGTGTGCATGTAGTTCTGAGGCCCCAGGAGCCCCCAGGAGGCCCCAGGCGGCCTCAGGAGGCCCCGGGGGACCCCAGGAGCCTCCAGGAGGCCCCAAGAGGCTCCAGGAGGCCGCAGGAGGCCCCAGGGGGCCCCAAGAAGTTCCAGGAGACCCCCAGGAGGCTCCGAGGCGGGGTCTGGGGTACCAGAAGGTACAGAAAGCCCCAGGAGGTTCCAGGAGGCCCCCAGGAGGCTCCGAGGCGGGGTCTGGGGTACCAGAAGGTAAGTCGGGGCTCGATTGTGGGAGGATGTCTCAGGCGGAACCGCCATTCTCTGAGAATCGGGATCAAAATCATTGAAATTACAATGTGTTTTTGAAGGTTTTATGTTAGAATGTTGAAATTCCAATGTCCTTTTGGACCCTGACGTCACGATCTGTGTAAGGGGTGCCACCGAATGTCCCTAGCGAAACGTCCAGAACAATCGCGAACGCGGCGCGTACGCATTTATCGTCTCTGAGGTCTATTCCCTCGGACGGTGCGTATGATAATCTATATATATATATATATATACAAGACTGCAGTGGCGCTTCGCGCCATGCACCTTGGTCCTTGAAGTTTGGTATGCAGGCGGAATAGCAGGAAGGTCAAACCGACAATTCTTTACGCTTCGCGTATCCCCACCAGCCCATCTCAAAACAGCAACTCTTGCGAAGCATGCCGACAGTCGTGCTTTTCAGGCGTGTTTCCGCCTGCCCCCGCATATCTCCCCTGTTCCTCCTTCCTCCCGCCTCCTTTTACATCCTCCTTGTGGTGGGAGCGGGAGAAGGACGAGGAGGAGGAGGAGGGAGAGAAAGCGCTCCTCGTGGGTTGAGTCGTTTGGGGTTTCTCGTCCTGGTGTGAGTCGTTCGGGCCCTTCTTCCTGGTGTGAGTCGTTCGGGCTCTTCGTGGTGTGAGTCGTTCGGGCTCTTCGTCCTGGTGTGAGTCGTTCGGGCTTCTCGTGGTGTGAGTTGTTCGGGCCCCTCGTCCTGGTGTGAGTCGTTCGGGCCCCTCCTCCTGGTGTGACTCGTTCGGGCTCCTCGTGGTGTGAGTCGTTCGGGGCCCGCGTCGTGGTGTGAGTCGTTCGGGCTCCTCGTGGTGTGAGTCGTTCGGGCGCCTCGTCCTGGTGTGAGTCGTTCGGGCCCCTCCTTGTGGTGTGAGTCGTTCGGGCTCTTCGTGGTGTGAGTCGTTCGGGCCCCTCGTCCTGGTGTGAGTCGTTCGGGCTCCTCGTGGGGCCTCTTGGGGGCCTCTTGGAGCCTCTTGGGGCCTCTTGGGGGCCTCTTGGGGGCCTCTTGGGGGCCTCTTGGGGGCCTCTTGGGGCCTCTTGGGGGCCTCTTGGGGGCCTCTTGGGGGCCTCTTGGGGGCCTCTTGGGGGCCTCTTGGAGCCCTCTTGGGAGCCTCCTGGGGGCCTCTTGGGGCCGTCTTGGGGCCTCTTGCGACCTCCTCAGAAGCGCAAATGAGCGCTGCCCCCTGAGAAGGACGAAATGAGCCCAAAACCTTCGTAAAGTCAATGATTTTGCTATGAAGGAAGATGAGCGCGGCCCCCTCAGGAGGCCAAAATGGGGCAACAACCGTAGTGAAATCAAGGATTTTGGCTTCACAGAAGAGGAGAGGGACTTATCTCCGTCCCCCCGTCGGGGCCAAAATACTCGTGAGGGTCGTCGTTTTTTAGCCCTCCCAGGAGTCGAAATGGACCCCCCTGACGACCCGCGGGGCGCCCTCTCCAGGCCCAGGGGGAGGGGGTAGGGGGAGGGGTAAACCCCTCCCCGAAGGGGAATAAGGGGGGTTGAGAACAGAGCGGGCTCTCTAAACCACTCACGCCCAAATGGCTGGTGGGATTTAGCGATAACTCCATGTTGCCTTTCCGGCATCGCCACTATACTAATGTTATTCGTTATCCTTATTCCATGTTTCTTTTCTTTATGTTCGCCATACCCTGCGCATTCTCTCCATCCTCCTCAGCTCTTTTTTGCGGAGGCTCCTCCTTAGAGGGACTCTGGGGGCCTCACAAAAGTTGTTTCACGCTTTCTTGAGGCCTTCTAGAGGCCTCCTGTGCGTATTCTGGGGGCCTCTGGGGGCTTCCTCGGGCCACCATGCCTCCAACCGCGGTCTCCCTGAACGACCGGGTCACGATTTGGAATGTTTCGGAGGGTGTCTTTGGGCCATCTTGGGCCGCCATGGGGCTCTCTGAGGGCCATCTTGGACCCGTGTTGTGCCGTTTTGGGGCTCTCTTGGACTGCATGGAAGCCCTTTCGGATGGTTGTGGGGCGATTTTGGAGCCTCCCAGGCTTCTTCGGACGCCCAGAAGACCGCCGTCTTGGAGCGTCGGGAAGCCAAAAAGAGGAGAACCCCAAAGTTCGCCAAAAACCTACAGAAAATCAATGATATTTGCCTCGGGGGGCCTTCTTGGGAGTGCTCTTGGAGGCCTCTTTGGGGCCGTCCTGGAAGCCTCTTGGGCCATCTTGAGGTCACGTCGGTCACTCTTGGAGCGCTCTTGTGCTGTCTAGGGGGTCTCTGGGACGTCTCCGCTGACCCCCCTGATCGCCCCAGGTGTGCTGGGAAGGCTTGACAAAACGCCCTGCGAGGCCCGGGGGCCGCTTCGAGGCCCCTCCAGAGGGTCCCAAGCCCCAGATCCCGGGACTCCGGTTTTTGGGGGGGACGGGTTTTCCCCCCGCCCAGGCTTGTAAACATATAGGAAGAGGAATATATATATATATATATATATATATAGAGAGAGATATAGATATATACACCTGTATTTATACATACACACACATATATATACATATTTACATGTGTAAGTATATATATATGTGTATATATCTATATGTATGTATATGTGTGTGCAAGTGTGGAGAGAGAGGGAGAGGGAGAGAGGCACATTCACGGGGAGAGAAAGAGATAGAGAGTAAGAGAGAGAGAGAGAGAGAAAAAAAAAGGGGGAGAAAGTGACAGAGAGAGAGACATAATGGCATAGTCATATTCACGTATACATGCATACATACATATACCTGTATATATATACATATACACGATTCTGTGCATATATATATATATATGCACAGATACGCATATGTGTTATAGCCCCCGCAGTTGCGGATGAGAGCGATGGGGCGGGGATCGCCAGCACTTCCCAAAGCTCGGAGGCCGACGGCGAGGACGATGAGATGGAGGCCAAGGAGGGGCACGAGGAGGAGGAGGAGGCAGCAGCAGCAGCAGCAGCAGGCTTGGTGCTACCCCGTGCAGGGCTCATTTCGACTCGTCCGATTCGATCCGATTTCGATGGCCTCCGATTCCGATTCGACTAGGCTTCGGATTCCCATCTGGCTTCCGATGTTTCCATCGAGGCTTACTGGCCTGCCGATTTCTGCCGATTCGACTTCTCCCGACTTGGCTGCCGATCTCTGCCGATCCGAATCATTCCGATCGCCGATCTGGTTTATCGATTCGATTCTGGGCTCTCCTGCCCCCGTGCCCCGTGAGCCCACGCGAGGCGTGCTGCTGCAGAGATCCGAGCGGAAGGCCACCTTAGCGGGCGCAGCCGCGCCGAAGTCCGCGGCTGCGACGCCGAAGGCGCACGGAGCCCCGGCTGCGCCCGTGGCGCTCGCCGCTGCGGAGGACCGGTGCGGGCTGCGCTCGGGCGTCTCGCCTCGGAGGCATGCCGGCTACACGTAAGCGTGACCCTTCGCCGGGGTGACCTTCGGTGCGGGCCCACCGGGGTCCCCCGATGGTGTTTGGTCCCCCCGCGGCCCCCAAAAGGCAGGGGCAACGATAGGGGGGGATAGGCACAGGGGAGGATGCATCGACCCCCAATCGCCCATTGATCGCCGAGAGGGGTCTGACAGCACCAAGCCGCCCAGGAAGGTGCGGATCCACTATCGAGGGCCTATCGCCGATCTATCGGCGATGTGTCGCCGATTCCAGGTCGATGCACCCCCCCCCCTGTGCCAGTCCCCCCTGGCGGGCCCACGGAGAGGCTCACTCGAAGGCCACGCAGGTTTGGCGACGCGCGCGGGCTTGTGTGGGCTCAGCCTCAAGTCGGGCCTGTCCCCCTGCAGGGGGTTTTCGACGAAAAATAAAATACACCCCAAAACATATCCCAAAAAGGTCATACAATAGTCCAAGAAATTGTCCCAGTCGGTGCATCCCCCCCGTGTGCCAGTCCCCCCCCTATTCGTTGCCCCCCCAAGAGGTCGCGCGCCAAAGGTCGCTCTTGCCCAGGGCCACTCCTTGCGTGCAGCCGCTTCGCCTCGGAGGCAGGACTCAGGAGGGAAAAAAACACTTTTGGGGGTCTGCGCGGCGAGAGCGAAGAGGGAAAAAAGAGAGGAGGGAAAAATCCGGGAAAACGCACACAGACACAATTAATCGTCGACTCCCCAGAAAATATTGGAAAATATGGGAAGCGGGGGGGAACACAAAAACTAGGAAATACAGGAAAATATGGCAAGTGGGGGGGGGAGACAAAAAACTTAGAAACTATGGGAAAATCTGGGAATCTTCTTATTTGTGTGTATTCATTTATGTGTCCTGGGGCCCCTTCAAACAATAGTCTGGGGACAATGTTTCAATGTTTCGATGTTTCGTGGCTCTGTTTGCATAGTTTTGTTTAGATTATTCTGGGGAAGACCAAAAACCCAGAACATATGGGAAGATATGGGGAATCCTTTTATTTGTGTGTGTGTCTTTCTTTGTGTCCCAGGGCCCCTGCAACGACGGGGTGCTGCGCTCTGCCGAGGGGGGGATGGCTCCCTGGCGGGCCCACGGAGAGGCTCGCTCGGAGGCCACGCGAGTTGGGCGACGCGCGCGGGCTCCTCTGGGCTCAGCCTTAAGTCGGGCCTGTCCCCCTACAGGGGGATTTTCGACGAAATAAACATTCCCCAAAAAATATCCTAAACATCGTCAAAAAAGAGTCCGGGGATTATTTTTGGACTATTGTTTGACCTTTTGGGAATATTTTTGGGTGTATCTCTTTTATTTTCCGTCGAAAATCTCCCTGTAGGGGGACACGCCCGACATAGGCTCAGCCTTTTGCAAGAAGGCGCCGGGGCGGTGGTGGGTGTCGGGTTCGGCGGGTGGGGTGTGCGTGGGGTGGGGTTGGGTGAGGGTGGGGTAGGGGGGGCAAAGTGCAATGCAGGCAAAACTGCCAGAGTCGAGCAGAGAACAAGCTCTCAGATGACAGCCGCCAAGACCAGGGTTCGCTTCCACCGAGGGCAGACGAGCGCCGATGGCAGATTACCCCTTTTTCCGTTCCTGCATGTCCCAGGTCCTCCCCCTCACTCATCCCCTTTTGTCTCTTCCACATTGCCACCCCCTGCCTCCGCCTCCGCATCTCCATCTCCTGTTCTGCTGATCACACTTTCTCCAGCCTTCTTCCCTCCCCTCTTCCTCTTTCCTCTCACGACCTCCCCCGCAGTTTGGTTTGTTCTTCCCTCCTGCTTCACAACATCCTCATTCCCCCATTTCCTCACATTCCTCTGTTCCCCTGTCCTCCTTCTCCCCCTGTCCCGCCCCTCCTTCCTCCACCTTTGTATTCTCCCTTGAGGCGGCTGTTCTGAGGGAGTGTGTTTTCAGACCTGGCACGCGACAGCACGTGTCAGACCGACACTTTCGGAAGTGTGGGCGACCAAATTTGGCACGGGCCAAGCCTTTGCAGCCGTGCGGTCGCTCACGTCGATGGAAGGCGCCGCAGGTGGGAAGACCACGCTCAAGCCGAGCACACGGTGAGAGAGCTGCACGTGCGTACGGCAAGCGTGTCTCCCCTCCTCCCCCCTGTGACAGCAGGGCTCGTTTCGATTCCTCCGATTCGATTCGATTCGACTTCGATGGCTTCCGATTCCGATTCGATTCGACCTGGGATTCCGATTTGGGTTCCGATGTCTGATTTGTGGCACATCAGCCTGCCGATTCCTGCCGATTCGACTTCTCCCGACTCGGCTGCCGATTTCCGCCGATCCGGTTCGTTTCGATCGCCGATCCGACTCATCGATTCGATTCTTGGCTCTCCCCCCTGCGCTGCAATGAGCGCCCTCCTTCCCCCGTCGCGGAGCGAGGCTCCCGTCGCGACGCTGCGCGCCGCGGGGGGCAGCTGCCCCCGGCGTCCCCGACCCCGCGCCTCCTCGGCCGGCGTCCCGTGGGGTTCGCCCCTCGCTGGCTCTCTTCCCTTCGGCGCCCCTGGCAGTTCTTGTGCGAAGCGGGGTGTAAGTCGGGGCTGTCCCTCTACAGGAGGAATACTCAAAAATAGCCCAAAAATAGTTAGGGGACGATTTTTTGACAATTTTTGAATAGGGCATTTGTTTACTGTTTTTTGTTTCGTCCAAACTCCCCCTATTGGGGGACAGGCCCGACTTAAAGCTGGGTGAACGAGTCGAAGCTGGATGAGCGAGTCGGGACCCCCCCTCTGGCGGCGCCTCCGGCGCCGCCCCTGGCGCGCTCCGCGCGCCAGGGAAGGGGGTCCAGCGCAGATCCAAGAAGTCCGCGCAGAGCGCCAAAAGTTTATCTGTATGCCGTTTCTTCTGTTTCTTGCGAGGTTGGAGATGCGGAGCCCGTAAGCAAGATCGTAGCGTAGCGCCTGCCGACCTGTCATTGTGCGCGCGGACGCGTGAAGCGACTTGGCGCCGTCCTTCACTCCTGCTCCCGAGCGCCCTCTGCCGTGCCCCCCCTCCCAGAAGTTGCTGGACGCCCCTCAGAGCCCCGAATTATCAGGGGTAACTCGGGTCAGAGCTGAATCGGGTTAGTTTTTCGGGAGTCCGAACCCGAGTTACCCCGGACCCGACTTACCCCGGATAATTCGGGCGTCCAGAGCCCCGAATCATCAGGGGTAATTCGGGTCAGGGCTAACTCGGGTTCCTTTCTCGGGAATTCAAACCCGAGTTACCCCGGACCCGAGTTATCCCGGATAACTCGGGCGCCCAAGCCCCAGTGGACCCTGGAAGCCCCCGGAGGCCCGAGGAGGCCCAAACAGTGAAACGATGCTGTCCCCCGCTCCTCCTTCTCCTCCTCCTCCTATTCCTCCTCCTCCGCCTTGTTCCTCTCGTCCTCCACCTCCTCCTGCTCCTCCTCCTGCTCCTCCTCCTCCTCTTCCGCCTCCTCAGTGCTCGTACTCCTTCTTCCTCCTCTTCGTCCTCCTCACTACGTTGTCCTCCTCTTCCTCCTCATGCAGCACCCCTGAAGAAGAAGAAGAAGCAGCTCCCGAAGCCCCCCCCCTTCCCGTCCTCGTTACCCTCGGAGCCTTCGCCGTGGCGCCCGTGCAGACCTGCTCGTGCGCGCGGCTGCTCTCTGCCGGCCGCGCGCAGACCCTTCGCCGACGGGCCTCGGGCCGCGGCGCCCTCGCCATCCGGACCCAGGCATGCGACGCCCTGATGTTTTCTCGGAGGTGGACAGATCTCCTCCTCCTCCTCCTCCTCCTCCTCCTCCTCCTCCTCCTCCTCCTCCTCCTCCTCCTCCTCCTCCTCCTCCTCCCCCTCTGCGTCCTGGCTTCGTCTTGGCACGCTCTTCGTCCCTGGGCTCTCCCCCGGAGAGGGCCTCCGAGCCCCCCCTCGTTCGGAGGTGGATAGACCTCCTACCCTGACACGTCGATTAGTGAATTGGCCGTTTTCGCTTCGCGAGGGGGCGTCGCGGCCGCCATTTTCTCGGGTCCAGGTCCTTCGGTTTCGGCCCAAGGCCGTGTTTACGAAGGGGAGGTTTACTAAAGGGAGGTTTGTCCACCGCCGATTTTCAGTGCGCGGTGCCCAGAAGTCCCGACTCGTTCCCCGGGACCAGTTTCTCTTCCCGAGTCGAGGGCCTCGGGAGGCCGAAGACGACGAGCAGCTTCCTCCCTGAAGCTTCTTATACGACGCGGTCATGTCCGGGAAGACCCTCCTCCTCCCGCCCACGTTCTCCCCCTGGAGGACCCGGAGCACCTGGGTCCGTGGAACATGCCGCTGGAGAACCTCTCGAGGACCGAGCTGATCGACCGGGTGAAGGTCCTGCAGGCCATGCAGGCCACGCGGGGTGCCCCACCGAGAGTTCGAGTGCAACTCCTGGGGGGGGCTGATTTCTGACTTTGCCCTGGTCCGAAAACCGGCTCGATCCCGCTTCATCCGGTTTTGTCCCGTGGAGTCCCGCTGAATCCCGCGGCATCCGCGGCCTAGTCTTATGTCAGGCGTGTCCCCCGACCGGGGGATTTTCGACGAAAAATAAAAGACACCCCCAAAATATTCCGAAAAGATCAAAAAATACTAAAAAAAATAGTCCCCGGACTATGTTTGGACTAATTTTGGATTATTTTTGGTGTATTTTCATTTTTCGTCGAAAATCCCCCTGTAGGGGGGGACACGCCCGACTTAAGCCTAGTCTGGCGCAACAGGCCCCCCACGGGGCCAGGACGTGGATCGATCCGTTCCAGAGCGGGCCGGAGCACTCTGCGAGCGTTCTCCGAAACGCCCTATGGGATCCTCCAGGCCCGCGGCGGCGGCGCCCAAGACATCCTCCAGGCCCGCCAGATCTTTTGGGGCTGCGCAAATTTTCATAGACATGACATCCTCCCAAGTCATTTTGGGCTGCGCAAATTTTGGGTTCTAGGGACATTTCGTGGTAGGACTATAGGAATGCCAGGACGGTCGGTCCCTGCTCAAATCTAGTCCTCCCAGATGGGGTCGGAGTAGATGGGATCGGAGGATCGCGCCGCATCGCCGGTGCATCGCCGATGTCTCGACGTGGGGCCCGATATGCTTCACGTCGACGTTGCCGATGCGTCGCCGACGCCGGCTATGCATAGCCGGTGCATCACCGATTCATCGCCGATGCATGGGCGATGCGGCGCGATCTTCCGACCCCAGCTGCTCCGACCCCATTCAGGAGGCCTTTAGTCCGGGGCTTCGGAGCGGGCCATCCGAGAACGGACTCCGCGTGCTGGTGTCAAAATTGAGAAAGCGGCGGGTCGAAGGTGGAGAGAGGGAGGTAACGTTACACATGCAGACGCCACACGGGCGTTCAGATTGTGAAGCATATAATAGTTCTCGCCGTGCTCGCAGACAGGCGAGTTCGTCGCGCGCACAGGGCTCATTGTGCATCAGCGCACATGCCTTACAACGTCGCTGTAAGTCAGTAGCGCCGCCTTCTGTGTCGAACGCACTACGTCACTTGAGGTGTGCGTTGGTCAGCGCAGGCGAGTTAGACCTGGGGTTCACTGGGGTGGCGGAAGTAAGAAAGGCGCCCGCACGACATGAAAACGTTTTTGGGTGGGTGCAGGGTTTCCGAAACAGCCCAAATGATTGCTTTTCTTCTGTTCGAAACACCACTGTCCGAGCTTCGCAGCGGGATGTCAAGCGATGTGGGCGTCCGCGCAATGAGTGGATGACCGTGGTACAGAGAGAGCCATTTCGTGCCAATCTGAGTCCTGACCTTGTGCATGATCAGCGCATGTGGCAGCAAAGCGTTGTGCAGCACTGTCAGCGTCCACGCGCCTCTGGCGTATTACTTGTGTGTGTGACTGTTAGTCTTTTGGTCACCCACGACCCGCGCCAGGCCGGCCACTCCGCCGCGCTGACGCCCCCGGCGCTGAAAGGCGGAGGCGCCCTTGGCAGCCCGGCACGCGGGCACGCGTCGTCGGCGGCGTCGTCGACGTCGGCGGCGGCGTCGACGTCGTCGTCGTCGTCGTCGACGACGTCGTCGGCGGCTTCGTCGACATCGCTGTCGTCGTTGTCGTCGGCGTCGTCGTCGGCGTCGACGCCGTCGTCGTCGTCGTCGTCATCGGCGTCGTCGTCGGCGTCGGCGTCGCGGCGTCGGTGTTGGCATTTGCCTCGCGCGAGGAGTCCCGCCGGAAGGCTGGCCGCCGCGTGCGCGGCCTCCCCCGGGGGGCCCGTGCAGGGCCTCGGGGCCTGTAGCATGAAGTCGGGCCCGTCCACTACAGGAGGAATTTTGTGGGATAGTCAAAAAATAATCAAAAATAGTCAAAAATTCAGAAAAATCAAAAACAGGAGGAAGATTCAGAAACAGTCAAAAAATAGTCTGGGGACTATTCTTTTATCTTCGCTGGATATGTTTTGGCATTGTTTGACCATTATTTATTTTTCGTCCAGAATCCCCCTGTACGGGGACATGCCCGACTTAGTGTAGCAGGAGGCTCCGGGGGGCGGCACAGCGGGCCCCAAACATGAAGTCGGGCGTGTGCCTCTGCAGGAGGACTTTCCTGGAGAGTGGCCAAACAGTATCGGGGGAGCGTAAGACCTGGGTTTGCCAGGACTCGGGCTCGCCATCGTTTTTTGACGACCGCGACTTGGATTTTGACGAGTAGGAGTTCCGTGGGAGGTCTGCAGCAGGAGGCCTCGTCAAAATGCAGGCTCGGCCTCGTCATTTTTTTGACGACCTCGTCGGGGATTTCCGAGTCCCCTGTACCCGGGTCTTACGCCCCCCTGACAGTAGACCGTGACGATGTTATTCGTGCTCTTCCGACTACTTGTTGATTCGCTTTGACCCTTTCTTTCTTCGGAGATGCGCCCGTAAGAGGATCTGCCCGACCTGACCCTCACAAGCCATTCAAGAGCAGCCCAGAGCTCGCATTCCCCGTCCAGCGACGCCTCCGCATGGTTGTGTTTGTTCCAGCCCCTTTGCGAGCAACCTTCATGATAATGGCCTGCTGGAAGCGAGGCCTTGGGAGAACGGGGGCGGTTGGAACAGGGGGAGAAGGAGGAAGCGGGATACAGCACAATACAAGGAGTGAGGGGATGAGGAGAGGCAGTGCGATAAAGGCCAGAAAGAGGAAGGAGAGGGTGGAAAGGAACCGAATACGTGTGGAAGGCCAGGAAGAGGAAGGCCAAAAAGAGGAGTCGAACACTTGCGTAATCTCGTGAAGGAGACGGGGAGGAAGAGGGAGAGAGAGAGAGAGAGAGAGGAACAAACAAACGACGACGACAAGCATTAGGCCACAGAGCCCTTAGACACTGGTAAGGGCACAAAGTGGCCTGGATTTGCCCCCAAAGTGCTACCAACAAAGCTCCCTCGAAGCACTGGCCCCAGACAGTTCCAGATCAGTTTTGCCAGAACGGATCGATCCTGGACGATCAGAAAGCCTGCGCATTATTCCTTTTAGTTTGCTTGTCCTGACATCTTCGTTCCGAGCATGCCACTCAGTCACATTCATGCGAGTCTAGACAACTTTCTTGCTGTGGATACTGTGTTACTGGTATCCCCTTGCTTGACGCAGAAGATAAGGATGAGGAGGAGGAGGAGGAGGAGGAGGAGGGCAGGACGACATGACGTGACCAGGTAGCGACTAGAATCTAAGCGCGATTGGACATGAGGCCTCTCAGAAGAAGCATCTTGGGGTTTCTTGGGGGACCCACTGGGTAGAAGCGTCGTGGGTCATATTGTTCCCATCGTACTGAAGGACCACATCCCAGAAATATTCTGAGCACCCGGAAAAGTGTCGAAACAATGTCGAAATAGTGTCGGACGAGTGTCTCCCATGGCCCGACACGTGAAAACCTTCGAGTTTCGGTTATTAGTTTGGTGCTCGAAATTATCTCTGGCGATCGAGGCTAAAGTAGGTTGGAACATCATAAGTCGTGGAGGCCTTCTGGATGTCCCTTGGGGCCTCTTGAGCGTTTCTTGGGGGCCCCTTTACACCTATTGGTGGGCTTGCTAGCTGTCCAGGAAGACATCTTCGGGGAAAGGGCTCGGAATGTCAGTTTGGGTCCCATCGTTGGGTCCGTCTTGGGGGTCCCTTGAAATCGTCATTATTTGTTGGTTGAAAGTCCCCAGCGTCGACCCCACCTACGAAAGCAACCACATCGGAAAAGCTGGCAGACGTCTCGGAGCACGCAATCCCTACGACGAGCAAAGAGTCCCCTGTGTTGAAGCACATTCGGGGAATAAGAGCTTGAGGACATTACAGTCGGGGCCCTGAAGAAGGAACCCTTTTCGTTGGGGAGGGGCTCCGTGTTCCTTAATTTTTTCACAGTTTGCCTGAGGTTTTCCTTATGTTTTCGATGGGAACTCGAAGTTCAACTTATGGTAAAAAGGGGCCTCGTTCCTTATTTAGGGTTCCTTAGGTCAACGCCCCGACTGTAGGCGAATGGGTCCTCCTGGGCCAGCCCCTTGAGGGCATCCAAGGAGGCTCGACGGCTCCCAGACAGAGGCCGAGGTGGAGCCTCCGGGGCCATCGTAAGCAGCGTCGGGAGTGGGGAATCCCAGCCACGGTCCCTGGCGGGCGACTGGAGACTCGACGAGGACGAGGAGGAGGAGGAGGAGGGGGAGGAGGAGGAGGAGGAGGAGGAGGAGGAGGAGGAGGAGGAGGAGGAGGAGGAGGAGGAGGAGGAGGAGGAGGAGGAGGAGGAGGAGGAGGAGGGAGGAGGAGGAGGGAGGAGGAGGAGAGGAGGAGGAGGGGGAGGGGGAGGAGGAGGAAGAGGAGGAGGAGGAGGAGGGGGAGGAGGAGGAGGGGGAGAGGAGGGGAGGAGGAGGGGGAGGAGGAGGAGGAGGAGGGGAGGAGGAGGAGGGGGAGGGGGGGATGGGGGAGGAGGGGGAGGAGGAAGGGGAAGAGGAGGAGGAGGAGGAGGAGGAGGAGGAGGAGGAGTTATACGATTCCAGGCTCTGGGGGCCCTCGCCGGGCCGCGGGACCGCCGAGGCACGGGCCAGGTCGAAAGAGCCGAGTCCCGGGGGAGGGGGTCGTCCAGACCTCTGGGGCCTCCCAAAGTGACGCGGGGATCCCCCTGGGCGCACGAGAGCGCCCGGGAGCGCCCCGAGGAGCTCTGGCACTTGGCCCCCGAAGGAGTGCTGCTGCCAGAATGCACCGGATCGGGAGCGGAGAAGAGGGGGGTGATGACTAGGGGGGGTGGATTTCATGGCGGGGGGCATGATGTTTCACCAGATTTCATGGCGCCTCTTCTTATTTCATTACGTCCCAGGCCCCCCCGCTGGGCCGCGCACATGCCGCCGGTCATGATTTGCATCCCCCCCTCTTGGGCACCCCCCTCTTGGCCGCTCCCGATGAAAGTGACGCGGGGATCCCCCTGGGCGCACGAGAGCGCCCAGGAGCGCCCCGAGAAGCTCTGGCACTTGGCCCCCGAAGGAGCACTGACAGAATGCACTGTGGAGAACTCGACTCGGCATCGCTTGGACGTATGCTTTTTCTCTCGGCGAAGATTCTCGAGAAATCTCTTGGCTCATCTTGCGAAAGGAGATGACGCTCGCCGAAATAAGAAAATGCACGTGGAATGGGCGTCCAAGCGATGGCGAGCCGAAAGGACCTGAGGACACTCCACTCAGTGCCTGCGGCACGGTGGCGGACCCGACGAGATGTATGCGCGTTTGTGGATGTAGGTCCAGGTGCTGATTTTGTCGTGCCTCGTACGTTTCGTCTCGTCTAAGCATGATGATGGCGAGGGTGAGGGGGCAGCGTTAGGGTGCAGGGAACGGTAGATCATATTTTCCGCCCTCGGGGAGGCCTGCCCCCTGGGCAGTTGCAGAGTTTTATACCCCTATGGTGCCGCGTAGGGGTCTAAACTTTCCAGATGCCTGGGGGGCAGGCGTCCCCGACGGCGGCAAAGTTCATGTTATACCGTTGGTTGCGGTATGAGGCAAGAGGATAGGGCGGAGAGACCCTCTCCCAGAAGCCTTCGAGCCTCATCCGCCAGGCGCTGCCGAGGAGGGCGACGATGCAGAGGCCAGCATCACCAACATGAGCAACTGCGGTCCGAGCCGCGCGATCCGCCTGCGAGGTCCCCGTGGGCCTCCCAAGGTCCCCAGAGGTTCCAAAGTCCTCGACCACGGCGCATTGCCTGAGTTTGCCCATTGCAGGTCGGCTTGTGGGGCGTGGCCAGTTTGCCTGGCGGCCTCCTGAGTCGCAGTGCAGTTGAGGGGCGAGTTGTTTGAAGATCCTGTGAGATCTGTGGTCGCGTTCCCCGCTCCCTCCAAGGCGAGTGGGGGCCACACGTCGAACAAGCTCTATCTGTGGCACCCGCCCTCCCCTCCGCGGCGGGGGGGAATCGACCAGTGCCGGTGACGAGCGGCGTGGCAGCGATAACGGGGGTGGTCAGGCTGCCTCAAACAGGGCTGGGTTGGACGGGGTCGGAGGATCGCGCCGCATCGTCGACGCATCACCAATGTGGCGCGATCTCTAGCCTGGTTTTCTGAACCCCCGACGTCGCCGATGGGCTGCCGATGCATCGGCGACGCAGCACGGATCCCCCCGACCCCACCTCCTTGGGCCCCATGTGCGGCGCTCCCAAAGGGGACCTGGCCCTGGAGGGTCGAGGGAGCTGTCGTTTCTGACCCAGCGGACAGCGGCAGAAGGAAAACTGCGACGGCTCCGCCGGCGAAAGGCCGGAGGAAGCCGTCAGAAGTAAAATCGGGAGCCTTGAGACGGGGGTCAGTGCAAACGGGGGTCAGCCACCGCACCTTAGCGAGCCGTTCGTGGCCGCGAGGCGGCCGCGCCTACTGGCTGACCTGGGTTTGCGAAGACCTGCGTTGCAGTTTGTTTTTGTTCCTGCATTGCAGCTTTTGGTTTCCTGCTGACCCGGGTCTGGATTGACCCGGGTCAGAAGATCCCCGATAAAAATCGGCTTGCCAAGAGATGGCAAGTGTCCCTAAGGCAGTGGGTGCTCTTAGGTGTACTCCAGATTTCGTAATAAAAGGGAGGGGGTCTGGACCCTCCAAGACAGGCCATTCCAGACCTCCCCCGTGGGAGAACCCTCCCAAACATCGTCCCCAGACCCCCCCAGGCCCTCCCAGATGGCCTGGAAGAGACCCTCCCCTTGAAATGAGACCCTTCCTTTTAATTACGAAATCTGGAGTGGGTGTACGTACGTAGCTGTCCTCCAACGAGCTCTCCGGCCAGCTGGTCGCCGCCCGTCTCGCCGCGGCCCGCTCTGGACCGGCCGGCTGTGCAGCCGGGTGTCGCCGCCCGCCGCCGCTTCCTTTTGGTCGCAAGTTTTGATGCTGCGAGCCTCGTCGATTCCCCCTTCTTACAAGAGATTCGGATCACCCCCCCTGGCATTCGCGGCATTCGCATTAGCCGCTTCATGTTGGTCGCAGTTTTGATGCTGCGAGCCTCGTCGATTCTCCTTTCTTACGAGAGATTCGGATCCCCCCCCTGGCATTCGCGGCAACTCCTAGGATGGTGCAAATCTACATTTGATGTTGCGCCATTCTTGTTGATGCTCCGAGCCTCGTCGATTCTCCCTTCTTACCAGAGATTCGGATCCCCCCCTGACATTCGCGGCAACTCCTAGGATGGTGCAAATCTACATTTGATATTGCGCCATTCTTGTTGATCTTTACATTGGACTTCACACCGTCCCAGCTAGACCCTTGATTGCCCACCCGATCGTCCCTCTCAACTAATATTATGCGCGCGCACTCGTTTCGCAAACACCATAAGTTGCAACATAATTGCTGCAGGCGATGAGACGACATCCACACGCGCGAGTCATCGCGCACACGCACACGTGCGAGTCATCGTGCGCGCATGTCTGTTTTTGGAGCCACGCCCTGGGTTCCCGACGAATTAGTAGATCAAGGTTCCCAAACACGTATTAAAACACATGGTTTTGCAACGTGATGATTCAAACCAGTCTGCGCGCTATTTTCCGAATGCTTAGGGGAACCGTCGCTTCTTCGAGACTGTCATCCTATGCGACCCAGCGGTCTCTTCGCGTGCGCACGTCGGAATCCTTCGAACGCCCCTGCGCGCATGCTTGGGGGGGCGCGACTCCTGGCAAACCACACCATGCGGGCCGCGCGCGCACGTCGGCTGCGCGCGCACGTCGAAGTCCTTCGAAACCTTCATCAGCGACAAGTGGACAGCATGACCGCCATCGGCGTGATCAGCATTTGCCCCGCAATTGGTCTTGCCGTCGTCATCGTCATCGTCGCCACCATCATCGCTACTATCACTAATGTGTCTGCTTCTGTCGACGTAACCCTGATACTGCGCCCACCCGGCTCACCGACTCGCAGTGAAATGTTGGCGCGCCAGCGCGGCCTGCAAGACACGTTGGGGAGCTCCGGGAGGTCAGCGCCACCGCGGCCGCACCGGTCGCGCGAGACTAGCTGGCCGTTCTGCGCGCGAGCCTTCGCGTGCCAGCGCGACCGCAGCAATGCGCTAGCCAGCGCCAAGTAGTCATCGCAATCGCCGCTGACTGGGTTGTGCAAACCGAGTGGCGGGTGAGTGGGTGGGACGATCGGGCGACCAGCGAGGATAACAACTTCAATTTCTACAGTGTGAATTACTTCTTCTATAACAAATGATTTCATGGGGACCACCAGAGATTCCAACAAAAAGGCTATTCGGATCCTTCCCCCCACCTGGCCTTAACGATACAATTTTCATTTTGATTTCGTTTTTGATATTGCACATTCGTCCATCTGAGATGCGAACCCACACCATCTCAGGCAGTCCCTTTATCGACCCCACCTTCATCCTCTGCAACAAAGACGATGCGCGCGCACTCGTTTATCAAGGGTCATCCGTATGCAAGAATACCTTGTGACAAATGGGACGAAGTGCGCACGCGCGCGCTGTCGTGCGCGCGTGCATTGTTTCACAGGCTTGCTGTTTTCGCAAAGATTGCAAAGTCGTGGGACCCGAAATCAGATTCACATCAATATCTTTGCAACTGGATTTGTGCTTTTTTGGAAAGCATGCGCTCGGGCTCTTGCGACATCCGAACGAAATCAGGGTATTCGAACATTTGCATCAAGTCATACGAAACGTGCATCTCGCGCGCGCGCATGTCGACACCGTTGAAGGCCCTTCCGAACGTGTTGTCGCACGAGCTCCTCGCAACAAGTGGGACGCGGAGCACGCGCGCGCGCGTCGTCGCACGCGCGTGCAAGAGGCTTCCAAAAGGTTCGGTGTCGCAAGG